TGGAATGTGACCTAGACCTTCACAGAATACTGTTGCTCAAGAAGAGAGGCGTGGCCTCAGCGGGCGCGTTCCCTGTGGAAGGCCCTCGCTTTATAGCCCCTCTGACTGTCAGAATGCAGGTACCTGGATCCTGTTACCCTGCTGCTCACATGAACATTCCCCGTGAGTTATGCTTTAATGTCAGACCTCTCGCTTTTATGGAGGGTCGATACGAGAATCATTGGGCTGAGCAACACCGGGATGTCCTTTATAAAACTGCTGTTGAAGACATCATTTCTGGTGTCACTAGGTGTCCTTTACATGAAGATCCACACGATAAATTCTGCCTTGTGTTTAGTTCCAGGAAGAAATTCTATTTCTGCAGATAAATTAGTTAGTGTGCTCCCTGCTGTCAGAAAATGAAAACTCAGGAATTCTGGGTGCTTCTTTTTTTTCCGTTCTGCGGCTAGACAAGGGAGAGCCAAATTTATTGCCTGTGTGTATAATTTGCTCAGCCGTGGGGTCCAAAAGCACTTACTCCTTCTGCTTCTTTTAAATGGGCTTATTTTATTTTATGTTCAAATGTCTCATTGTACTTTTGCAAGATGTGTGAGTCTGGAAGCCGTCTGGGGAAGCATTCATTGGCCCATTGATCTGGCCTGTTTACTGCTTATGCTGACTGCTGGGGACACAAAACTGAATCCCTCCACACCCAGCTTTCAAGGAGTTCATGTTTTAATGTGGACAATAGCTTGGAAATTATTAGTCATTATAAAATGAGGCTGATGAGTTCAGAAACACACAAGACTGAGGAAAACAAGACCAGCTGGGGTGAGGGTGGGGAAGAGGCCAGGGGAGTCTTCCTGGAGGGGGTTAAGGCTGAGCTAGCTCTGTGCATGCATGGGAAAGGACAGTGATGGAGACATAGGCAGCCCTGACTCTGACAATTCAAACCCGACCTCTTAGTACTCATCCTCTTTTTCTACTTAGACTGGAGACTCTGGGAGGGCAGGCTTTAGTTCTGTGCCCCTGTATGGACACCAGGATGCCAGGCCCAGTGTGCAGGGAAGTGCTGTGTGGCAGCTGACAGGGCCTGAATCAACCAGGCTGTCTGGTTATGCATCTATAACCACTAACCACCTCGGGTCTTAGCTGTAACGTGGAGACCAGCCCAGTAAAGCCTGGGCTGGGGTTCCAAGAACAGAGCAGGCTGCCCGAACATGGCCATTGTTTATCAGGTCCACGGTAAAAGCAAACTGCATTGGCTGGTTATCCCACCTCTTTGAATCTGAAGGCTAGAGAAGAATTCACCTCCTGGGGCTTTTGTGAGTATTAAAGAAAATACACAGAGACACAGGTGGTGAAACTCCTCAGAGACACAGGCATCGGCCACTGTACCATCCAGGCAGCAAGGACAACACAGCTGTATCCACACTCAACTCTCCAAGTAATACCTGTGTGAAAAAGACTCCATGGCGTTCACTCCCGAGTAATACCTGTGTGAAAAAGACTCCATGGCGTTCACTCCCGAGTAATACCTGTGTGAAAAAGACTCCATGGCATTCACTCGCGAGCCAACACGCGGGAGCCAGTGTTCCCCTAATCCACGTCAATATTCTTACAAGAGGTCACTGTCGTGTCTCCTCAAGGCCACCCCTGGATCTCTCAGGCTGCCACACCCAGGGGGCTCACAGGGCTCCATGCTGTCCTACCATGTGCCAAATCTTCATGTGTTTGCTTGGCCACTGGTTTTCCAAAGGACAGAGGCTGGATATAGTTCCTGGATATGGTTGGACAGGTTTAAAAAGAGGCCATAATCTGTATTTGTAGTCAGGAGGGGGAGGAGACAACGACGCGGAGTACAGGTTTATGTGCGCGTGCACACACACACACACACACACACACACACACACACAGCTGGCCTCATGGGGTGCTTGTCTGTATGTCAGTGCTGTGCCAGCAAAAGCAGCTACGTGGGGGCGGGGGAGCCCTTGTTTAGAAGACTTGCCCGTTCCTTTGATGCAAACTCTCCCACCACAGCTGACTTTAAGTTGCTGTGTGGTGTCAAAGGGTGGACTTGAGGAAAGACAGAGAAACGTGCACTGTGCAGACTAAGTCCCCATCTCCCTCCACCTCCCTCCACCCCCCTTCACCTCCTTCCACCCCCCTCCACTCCCGAGGTATGATGGCCAAGATAACTGTAAAAGCACACATTATAATTAGCAAAGAATGAAATTTAAGGGTTTGCTGCTTTGTTTTAAATATAATGCAACTGTAAACTTACATAATTTGATTTTCCACATCAGCTGTGTTGAACAGCAGCACCCCATATTCCCGACACGTCACCAGACAGCTCTTGTGACATTCGACATCTTGTGACATTTCCACATCAGCTGTGTTGAACAGCAGCACCCCATATTCCCGACACGTCACCAGACAGCTCTTGTGACATTCGAGCCAGCTCCAGCACACCCTGGCTTTCCCTCATCGAGGCAATGATCTCTTCCAAACGGCGCCTCTCACGTCACCCCTAAATCTATGCTCCTTGGGATATGGGGATGTCTCCATATGAATTTCCAAGGACACTGATCTGTTTTGCACATAGAGGTGTGTTCTTATCCCGAATGTCTGAGCCAACCTTCCCTGCTTAGATTTGGTTCCCAGGGTATTCCCAACCAGTAACTCAACTGCCCTCCGTAGAAACCCAGGGACACACACAAGACAGTGGGGCAGCTCTGAAATGAAGGGCGAGGCAAAGAGAGCACAAACCAAAGACGGAGAAGGTGACCCTTCCTGGCGGGCCGCTGCCTAATTCTTGCACTAGAAACCCAAATGACAGGACGTGCCGCAGACCACAGACTACACCAGCATCCAGAGGCTACTCTGAAGTCGTCCGTCCTAGCCTTTGATACAAGAACCAGCTGCAGAGGACAAAGCCTCCTAAACAGGCAAGAACCCCTTCGGTTCTGGGGTCACCAGGGGCCGCAGCCATTAGACAGACACCTAAGGCTCCTGGACAGACACCTGGAGTCAAGTCCCTAAAGTGGCAGCTGGGAGAAGTTAACACCTCATCACTAATTAGGGTAATATGCTCTTGAAATACATGGGTCTTCCTGAAGCTCTTAATTAGACTTCTGCCCCAGAGCCTTTCCTTTGAAGCTTGCTGATGGCTGCCTCAGGACATCTGGCCCGGCTGACCCTAACCCTGTGCGGTATAGGGAGGCAGGCAGAGGAATTAAGGCGCATGCTTTCTGAGAACGTGCAGAAAGGCCCTCAGGGTGCCTGTCCCAGTGGGGAGGACCAGACCTGGGAGGTTCTGGGCTGGGCAGCAGAGAGGACAGGACGGAGCATCTCTGGACGGCAATGGTCATGCTTTGCCTGCCATGGACTTGAAAGTGACAATCACCGCTGTGTTGACTGGCATTTCCACTCTGGCGCTACTTGTAGTGAGTCAGCAGTGTGAAAGCTAGAGAAGGACCCTGTGTGAGGGACAGGAGGGATGACTCTGCAACGGTGACACGCCCAGGGTGAACACAGGGAAGGGCACATGACCAGGTCAACTGGCGTGTTTTTATAACAGGGGCTGTCCTTCCTTTCGATGGTTCCCCGAGGCTGAAGGCACCGGAAGAATGTCAACTCGAGGTGTACCAAGTCCCTGGGGATGGAGTGCAGAGTGGGACCCTGCCAAGGCTGGCAGTGGGACACTCACAGCTAGGTAGGTGGCCTGGGCATACATGTCCTGACATTTCGACTCAGCAGTTGTCATTTCACACGATCATTATTATTACTGATTTGGGTCACGCTCATCACAGTTTTAGGTGTTACTTCCCTTCCACTAGCCCTGGGCACTGGGTTTCTTTACTTGTGAGTCACTGCAGGACCCAGGCTATCATAAGGTGTGTGGGGTGTTTGGAACACTAGTGGTTGAGTCCTGGGAAGAAAGTGAGGTCGTTTTACCAGAGATCTGTTCTACCTGCCTTCTGGAGAGTGACACTATCCTCCAGGTGACTTTCTTGAGTCTCATATCAAAAGGGACACTTTCTGCCTTTGTCTGCCACTGAAGGCGCAGGAGGAGGCCCCTTGGACTATGTCCATGTGGGTTGACCATTGACATCCTCAGTGCACTGAAGTGAGTCAGCCATTGCTGTAGGTTAGGAATCATGGGCATGCTCAGAGAGACCTGGGGCCATCACTTCATTCCGGCAAGCAGCAGCCACGTGAACGCAAACATCTGTGTTCTCCCCATCCGGAGGACGCCCTGGCCTCTTGTGAATATGAAAAGAGCTGGTGCCCAGAAAACCACAGGCACGGATGGGTCGCTGTTTTCTCGATAGGCTGCTATGTTTAGGATTGGTTAGTCCACCTTTAGAAGACTCAGACCAGCACTTTGAGTGGCAGGGTTCAGGCTGGGGTGGGATGGGAAAGCTTGGGAGAGGAAGGAAGAAGATAGAAGCGCAGTCACCAGAGGAGGTACACGGACTCCGATCCTTGCCTTCCTTCAATTTCCAGAGTCATTTATCTGGACTAGCTTGGGCCATTCCCCATTTATTACAATGGACCTGCAGCATACACCCCTGCTGTGGAATATTCCTTTATACTGTGTGAAGTGTGTCACTGTGGTTGGTTTAATAAAAAGCTAAATGGCCAATTGCTAGGCAGGAGGTACAGGTGGGACTTGTGGACAGAGAGCTCTGGGAAGAGGAGAGGTGGAGTCTCCAGTCAGATGCAGGGGAAGCAGGATGGGCAGTGCAGAGTAAAGGTAACTGAGCCACGTGAAAGAACGGAGATTAAAAACACGGGTTAATATGAGTTATAAGAATGAGTTAGGGGCAAGACTAAGCTAAACCCTAACTTTCACAGTTAAAAGTCTCCATGTCATTGTTTGTGAGCGGGTGGTCCTGACGAGAAAGTTCATCCACACATCACCCTTCATCCCAAGGGCCCTCCAGCGTACACCCACCTTTACTGAGGACTCTGCAAGGAGACCCCTCTTTATCCCGAGGGCTCTGCGGCATACTTACCAAGAGCTACTTGCTGTAGGTGCCGCTGGGTGATGGCATCCTTCAGCTGACCTGTCAGAGACACAAAGGAAAACCACCAGTGAGTCTCCAACAAGCTGCAAGAAGGCCTCACCTCAGGAGCAGCTGGCAAACTGAGAGATAGAAGAAGTCCAGAGTCAGGGAGATACTGCCAGGCACTGCTTCCCTTGAGAGCCCTTCCACACCTGTGGGGGGGGTGCGGGTCGACGGGCGGGGCTGGGAAGAGACTGCGGAGGCGGGTGTGGGTGCATCACATGGATTTCACCTTGGGGTCAGCCGTCTTATGGTTTAATTATCTAAACCTGCTGTTCATAAACTTTGCTGGGGCCCTGGTCTCTTAGGTAATTCTATTATTAATGAAGGAGGAGAGAGGATGCGGTCTTTTAATAATGGCTAAGACCCGTTCTCCGGTCCTCTTCTTTCATTTTAAAGCTGGATGAAAAGTCGACCACTGCTTAGGAAGCACATACAATTCTGGGTCACGTCAGTGGGGTGACTGTGCGGATGGAGGTCACTGAGTGACTCCGAGCTCTGTGGGACTGGAATCGCACTGTGCACTTGCTCTGGGCACTTCCCTCCTTCCCAGGAAACAGCAGCAAAACAGGAAAGCTCACCACAGGCGAGGAGATGGCTCCGTCGCTAAAGTGTCCACTGAACAAACACCACAATCAGAAGCCACATGAAAAGCTGGGCATAGCGCCCTGTGCCTGCAACCCCAGCACTGGGGACGCAGAGACAGGGGTCTCTGGAGCTTTCTGCCCAGCCAGTCTAGCTGAATCAGTGAACTCCAGATTTAGTGAGAGACCCCGCCTCAAAAAACAAAAACAAAAACAAAAACAAAAAAACAAAAACAAAACCAGGGGCAAGAGTGACTGAAAAAGACAACCCGACACCAACCTCTGGCCCCCACATTTGTACACACACACACACACACACACACACACACACACACACACACACACACAGGAGATATTCAGAAGACGGTGACGGGGAGGTGGTAGGTCAGAGGCCATGCTCTGTGAGGGATTTTTGAGCCAACTCGAGAGATATTCTGACGGGGAAGAAATGGGGATCTGGACTGCTGAGTCCCTGGACAACTGATGTGTGGATATTTTCTTCTGTCCTGCCGGGAGTGGGGGGGTATGGCAGTGAAGTCGTGGGAATGCCAGCTTGGGATCTGGCATGAGAGGGAAACAGCTCCCAAGGTGCACAGCCCACAGACGGGTCAAGTGTTCTCGGCAGCCTCGGTCTCCCCGGACAGCAGCAAGCACCTCTCAAAGACACCAGGCAAGGGCCTCCCGTGGGTGGTTAGAGCAGGAATTCCTATCCTTGAAGGATCTGGGACTCAGTGACTCTGGGCCTCCTGCATCCCTAAAATCCCAAGGTTGGGGCCTTGAGGCATGGGCAGTTCTGGGATTAGTGTGTGTCCCGGGTCTTAACACACTTATTAAGTCTCAGGGCTGTCAACTGAATGTCCCCAGTGGGCACTGTGATCCAGACACTGCGGGGAGCCTGGGAGCCTCGATGCTCCCTGTCTCCTGTATTTCTTTATTCGCATAAGGAATGTACAGTCCAAGGCGAGGATGGGCAGAGAGTGAGGTCTTCACAGAAGACGGTCTGTGGTGACAGAAGGATTTAGAAGGATGACAGAACTCAGTCAGCTTAATTCCAATAAGAATCCTTAAAAACCCTTCCTAAAGAATGTGCTAGACCCCTTCCCCAGGCAGTTTCAGAGTGAAGTGTACAGAACAAATTAAGCACGTGGAGTCCATACCTGCATCCCTTCTCTCAGTCACCCCATCAGCATGGAAATGGATTGTTTCTGGTTGACTGGGCGAAACATTCACATTAGAGGGGCCACACTGTCCCTGATTTTCCCTCAGGTCACAGGGCACACTGTCCCTGATTTTCCCTCGGGGTCACAGGGTCACACTGTCCCTGATTTTCCCTCAGGTCACAGGGCCACACTGTCCCTGATATGCCTGTCCCTCTGGGTCACAGGGCCACACTGTCCCTGATTTTCCCTCGGGGTCACAGGCCACACTGTCCCTGATTTTCCCTCGGGGTCACAGGGCCACACTGTCCCTGATTTTCCCTCGGGGTCACAGGCCACACTGTCCCTGATTTTCCCTCGGGGTCACAGGGCCACACTGTCCCTGATTTTCCCTCAGGTCACAGGCCACACTGTCCCTGATATGCCTGTCCCTCTGGGTCACAGGGTCACACTGTCCCTGATTTTCCCTCGGGGTCACAGGCCAGCCACACTGTCCCTGATATGCCTGTCCCTCTGGGTCACAGGCCACACTGTCCCTGATTTTCCCTCGGGGTCACAGGCCAGCCACACTGTCCCTGATTTTCCCTCGGGGTCACAGGCCAGCCACACTGTCCCTGATTTTCCCTCGGGGTCACAGGCCAGCCACACTGTCCCTGATATGCCTGTCCCTCTGGGTCACAGGGTCACACTGTCCCTGATTTTCCCTCGGGGTCACAGGGTCACACTGTCCCTGATTTTCCCTCAGGTCACAGGCCACACTGTCCCTGATATGCCTGTCCCTCTGGGTCACAGGGTCACACTGTCCCTGATTTTCCCTCGGGGTCACAGGGCCACACTGTCCCTGATTTTCCCTCAGGTCACAGGCCACACTGTCCCTGATTTTCCCTCAGGTCACAGGCCACACTGTCCCTGATATGCCTGTCCCTCTGGGTCACAGGGTCACACTGTCCCTGATTTTCCCTCGGGGTCACAGGGCCACACTGTCCCTGATTTTCCCTCAGGTCACAGGCCACACTGTCCCTGATATGCCTGTCCCTCTGGGTCACAGGGTCACACTGTCCCTGATTTTCCCTCGGGGTCACAGGGCCACACTGTCCCTGATTTTCCCTCAGGTCACAGGCCACACTGTCCCTGATTTTCCCTCGGGGTCACAGGGTCACACTGTCCCTGATTTTCCCTCGGGGTCACAGGGTCACACTGTCCCTGATTTTCCCTCGGGGTCACAGGGTCACACTGTCCCTGATTTTCCCTCGGGGTCACAGGGTCACACTGTCCCTGATTTTCCCTCGGGGTCACAGGGTCACACTGTCCCTGATTTTCCCTCGGGGTCACAGGCCAGCCACACTGTCCCTGATTTTCCCTCGGGGTCACAGGACACACTGTCCCTGATTTTCCCTCAGGGTCACAGAGCACACTGTCCCTGATTTTCCCTCCGGTCAGAGGGCCACACTGTCCCTGATTTGCCTGTCCCTCTGCGTTAAGCATCATCAGGTCTTCATTCTTGGGTGATCTCTGGGGTGGGGTGGAACACTGCTTCCAGGTATGTGATCAACCTTCCTAATGCAGCTCCCTCTAACAGCTCCTCGTGTTGTGGATAAATTATATTCACTGCTACTTCATAACTGCAATTTTGCTATTGTTATGAACTGTAAATATCTGATATACAACCTCTTTGAAAGGGTTGTTTAACCCCTGAAGGAGTCGTGATCGGCAGGTTGAGAATTGATGACCTGGGATGAGGACTTGGGACATGGGCCTGGCTGCTCTGCTTCCGTATCTCCTCACTGGAGAAGGCTGCAGACAGAGGGGGAGCCAAGGATGGGCCTGAGCAATCATTGCTCTGGGGTTCTAAGCAGGGAAGGGTGGGACACTGGAGTGTGTTGAGGGGGAGCTGGGGGGAAACCTGGCCTGTCATGAGTTTCTGCGTTCTTCATGTGCGTACAACGTTTCTTCTCTTAAAGAAGCATGGTGGTTTAATTACGGAAAGTGAAGATTCCTAAAAATATTTTCCCACATTATTCCCCAACATGTAAGTATCAAAGTAGCATTTCTTTGAATTGTGTTGTGTTAGGACATTTTATTTTAAAAGTAGATGATGGGATTGTTGAGTTAACTTTCAGTTAAATACCTTTAAGTGACTTTTAGATTGGTATTGGGACAGAACATCCAGCAATTTCTGGAACCGGCCCTAAAATTACTTCTACAGCTTTGTACTGTGTGCTTATGGGAAGCCACATTCTCGATACTGATAATCATAAATCAAAATGTTGATCACTATAGAAAATGCTGGAGATGCTCTTTACCCTGCAGTTTAAAACACTCAGGTGAGAGTTAGCTCCCTATTCCAGCAAATGTCTCATAAGCATGTAAATCTGCTTTTGGTTTTAATAAATACCAAAATTGCTCTCAAATAGCGAGTGTGCATGTCTTATGTGGGGGGTACACACATACATGTGGGGGCATGTGGAAACTAGAATGTCTCCCTTAACCACTCTCCAACATGTCTTAAAAGACAGGGTCTGTCACCAAGCCTGACATTCACTGCTGTGGCTAGGCTCGCTGGCCAGGGAGCCCCAGGGGTCTGCCCATCTCTACCTTGGAGTTTTGGGATTTTAAGCGTACCAATTGGTTATCCGTACTAAATGGTCATCCTTGAAAACATACATACAAGGAACATTATATGAATTGAGTAGTTTGTATTTATGTATTTAAGAACAGAACATGTATAACTAAATAAAAAGGGGCATGAATTTGAAAGATGGTGGACACATGGAGGATTTGGAGAGAATAACAGGAGGGAAGAAAACGTTGCAATTATAATTTTCAAGAATAAAAAATTAAGATGGAAACAAAAGGAAGCCCTACTTTGACGCCCTCTGCCCCTCCCAGGAAGACTGTCTCCCAATGTTCTGAAGAACGGTCCTCTCCCTGAGTGCCTGACCATGTGTTCCTCCCTGGTAAAGCTCCTCCCAGGCCGGGCCAGTGTCTGACCTGTCTATCTCCAGCTGCCCTGTTTCCCATTCAGAGATGGGCTCCCCAGCCCATGGTGGGGTGGCTCAGGGCCGCTGCAGAATGGGAGGTTTAAGGATTTCCCACAGGCTTGGATTTGCTCATCTAATAAACAGGGAAGATATTTTTTTTAACCAGGGCTGAGAATTCTCTAAATGCTACAAACATGAAAATGCACTCAGAATAAGGCACCCCTAAGGAAAAAAATGTGGCCTTTATAATATCACATATTGATAAAGGCAGTTGCAAAACGTAATCCCCGATACGCTATTTTGGTGAATTGACTGACGTCCTCTACCATATGGCATCTGGGGTAGGAGGGACATATTCCTAAACAAGCTTCCAAAAATAGCCTTATGGCTGATACCTAATTACACTTGCCAGCAGAGGCATTCTTCAAGCAAAGCTAACAATCTCTCTAATCGCAGGATCTTGCAGCTACACGGGTTTTGGCAAAGGAGTAGCTGAGGGAGATTTCAGAATTTGCTCAGCATGAGGCTTGCTGTCATTACCAAGGTGATAAATTTGTGGATTCTGGCCAAGGTTCCTGGACATCTTCCCCATAAAGAGGTAGGGATGAAATGAGATAGAAACAGAGAAGTCCCTGCCCAGGCAGGGGACAGAGCCTGCAAGGGGAGCAGGGAGGCCAGGCTGGGGTGAGGCTCAAGGAGCAGGCTAAGGAAGGAAGAAAAGGAGGGAGGGAGGGAGGGAGGGAGGGAGAGAGAGGGAAGGAGGGAGGGAAGAGAGGAAGGGAGGGAGGAGGGAGGAAAGGAGGGAGGGAGGGAGGAGAGAGGAAGGAGGGAGGGAGGGAGGAGGAAGGGAGGGAGGGAGGAGGAAGGAGGGAGGGAGGGAGGGAGAGAGGGAAGGAGGGAGGGAGGGAGAGAGGGAAGGAGGGAGGGAGGGAGGGAGGGAGAGAGAAGAGTCCTCTCCAAGGGACAATTTGGAAATTGGCAATTTTCCTCTGTTGACTTGACCGTGCAAGAAACACCTTTCTCCCTTTCTGAAACAGTCATTGATGGGGTGAGTGGCAGTGGGGACAGATGGGGTACTTTAAGCCAGTACCCACTCGCAGAAACTCTCTGGAGATGTGCGGCCTTGAGAAGACCCAAAGTCTGATCAGAGCACATGGAGGGTGTGGGTTGCAGGGGTGTGGATTCTCTGGGAAAAGTGTTAGCATCAGGGGGAAACACAACTGAAGTTGCATCCTGACACTTGCAGTGTTTAGGAGGCAAGAGTTTTCCTTAAAGTTCACACTTGGTTCCGCACATAGGCTAGCTTGGGATCATTCACTAAACAGGAGCTGGTCCTGAGGACAGCCATTCATGTAGCATTCCAGCAGTGTGGCTTTGCAGACTGCTCTTGGGAAGGACTCCCCTCCCTCCCTCCCTCCCTCCCTCCCTCCCTCCCTCCCTCCCTCCCTCCCTCCCTCCCTCCCTCCCTCCCTCCCTCCCTCCCTTCTTCCTACCTTTTCTTCCTTGTTTTTAGAGACAACTTCTCATTACATAACCCTGGCTGTCCTGTTACTCCCTATGTAGACCAGGATGGCTTTGAAATCACTGAGATCTTCCTGCCTCTGTCTCATGAGTATTAGGACAAGCAGTGTGTGCCACCAAGCCCTGCTCCTCCTGGAATTTTTGTGATTCTATCGCTGTACTGAAGATGCTTCCATTGCTATCAAGCCGTAAGTATTTATCACGTATCATTGACAGAGCGCTATGTCCAAAGTGCTGTGTGACAAGGTAGCAGGACACTGCAGTGTAGGCAGCCACATCTGCTTCCTCTCTATCCAGATGAAGTCCTTTGTTCCTCCAGGACAAATATTCCTGCCCCTCCCTGCGGTCTCCTTTCCCTTCTCCCTTGTTCCCTGTGTCCTTTACAGCGTCCTAGTCCATTCTAGCACAGACCTCCTCTTCCTCACCTCTTAAAATTACACCTTCAAGGTCATTTGCTGCTGTTTTTCTGCCTGAGTCAGAAAGCAGCCACTTCACCTTAACCCCTCCCCCCTCCACTCCCGGTCCCCGGCCTTGCCCTGCTTAATCAAGGGTCTCTGTGTATGCAGAGTTCCCTTTCAAGACCTTCACAGCTTCTGGTGATCTGCTGGTTGTCCCTCCTTGGCTGTACCACCTCTCAACAGATGACAACGGTGGGAGAGAGTGGAGAAGGTCACGCTGACAAACAGGAAGCTAGAAGGAGGCTGGGTGCTACAGTCTCTTTTTGAGAGCATGCGGCCACACACCTGGAGATCCCCCACTGGCTGGCTCAATGGGTAGAGCACCAGCCCTGAACTTGTGAAGATTAAGATTTGGATCCCAGAGGCCATCTAAAATGTTAGGTCCTAGTCTTGGAGGTTCTTGAAGCTGTTAGCCAGCCCAGACTCCGTGTCAAGAAAACAAAAGAGGCAGATAACAAAGTGATCAAAAGAAAAACACCTAATTCCTATTTCAGGTTTCACATGCAGGCATATAGGTAGGCTCACACATTCATATTTCCCCCCAAAGAAGCTCCCTACATGAATATTTGGGGAGCATAATGATGCTATATCCTACCCAGTGCAGTAGCGGATTTTCTAATAAAGCACAATGAGTGGCTGGATGAAGCAAACATCTGTATTCTTTTGGTCATACTAGAAAATAATAAAAAAATTGCAGGTATTTGGGATTGAGTTTCGTAGTGTAATAGCTTCCTCTGAGATTGAAACATTCCATCCTGCAGGAAGCCCTCAAACAGGAAGGAAAACAACTCAACATAGCTTCAGGAAGTTCCTGAAACTGAGCAGATTCATTAGGCCCCTCCCTGCCAGAAAATTAGGAAACTGACCTACATGAAGACTGTTAGGCAAGCAAAGCTACAAAGAGAACTCCCAAGATCAGAACAGCTGCCTGGGAAAGGTTTAGAGCAAGTTAGGCACCTGGAAAGGGCACTCTTCAACTGGGTGGGCTGCCTCAGGCTGTGCAGTGTGTTCTGGGTTTCCATGCTGGGATGGGAACTTTGTGGATGCAGCTGTCTTTGAGTCATTTCTGCTCCTATAAGTAATCCCAATAAAATATTGTTGCACCATGTTGGAGTGGTATCTATATTTTGGTCTTGTGTGTGTGTGTGTGTGTGTGTGTGTGTGCCTCTGTGTGTGTTGCATCTCTCCAGGAAACATTTTGCTCCATAATAGTCCAAATCTTAACTTCTTAGGAGGTAGGCTACATTACATCTCTAGACCTTGATTTTATCATTTGAAAAATGGAGTGGCTATTACTGCAGTGACATGTTTGACGGTATCTGAAGATGCTTGGTAGGAGGGAGGAAGAACAAATGAGTGTATGTGACACATCTATCAAACTGAGACCAAACAATTTCCACAATAGTCCCCAAAGGCTACATTGTGAATGCTAAGTCAAGGGCAGAAGCTTTGAAGGGGGAAAGTGGCTTAGGAAAGGGTTAGACTGCAGCTGATGCAGAAGAGAGGAAAAGGAGGGGCATTGAGGAGGGCTTGAGTATGTGTGCTCCAAAGAGAGTTCCTACATACAGCAGGGCAGAGAAAGGCAGGCACACGCCAGCCAGACAGTGGTAGGGGAGACAGGGAGCCGGCTGCATTCCTAGCTCAGGAGCCAGGTGAAATAGTCTCCTGTCTGGGTATACCATGGCTGAGTCTTCCCACCTTACGGCTGGAGCATGGGAGAATACACCAGCTAGGCTGCCTGCCTCAGAGAGGGGAACGCTCTGCAGCAGGAGGTCACGGCTGAGGTTCCGAATCCATAGTGCTGAGGTGGCCAATTTCTCTGTAATAGCAATGAAGATCTGAGATAACCAGTACATTAGATCCCTCAAGGCTGTTTGTAAAACAATGGGCCTGGAATAAATTAAGTGTGTAATCCTTAGATGGATTTCCAACAAACAGGAGTATGTAAACTTTTTGAAGGCTTAAAATCAGTTCATTGTCTCGCTAAGGCAGCTAATGTACAGCTTATGGGGCTCCTTGGTATAATCTGAAAGTCTGTTGAGGCAGGGATGCCATCTCTGCTCAGAACAGCCCTGGTCGAGGGAGCACAGAGGAACGAGAAGCTTCGCTGGCTTAGGCTACAAGGCAGGCTTCTGAGGTCTGGAGCAGAGCAGAAATATGCAATGGTGAACTGAGGCTGAGCCTGGAGCCTGCCAGGCTTCTTGGCTCCAGAAGAAGGAAGGTAACTCAAAGTGCACTGAGCCAGGCTCATGGGGAGAGACTGCGGGCTGAAGACAGAGGGAGGGGCCTGGGGCTGGGAGGAAGGCAACACTCCCAAACTTTGTGCATGGCTCTGGTCCCCATCTTACTGCATCCCAAGGCTGGAGGGGGGAGGGAGAGGGAGAAGGGGAAGAGGGAGGGAGGGAGAAAGGAGAGGGAGAGAGGAGGATGGGGAAGGAGAGGAGGAGGGGGAAGGAGAGGAAGGAGATGGGGAGGGATACAGGTCCAGCCTTCCTCATGCTGTCTGGCCCAGCTGCTAAGCCTCTCTGGCAGGAGCTGCTACATCCTGGTAGCACTGTCCTCCTTCTACTGTTTCTATCAGAGACATCTCTGAATTGGGGGAGGAAGTCAGACGTTATGACTGCAGAGACGGGTGGACACAAAGAGAAAGAGCAAGGGAAATGAGTTATATATGTTTCAGTGAAAAATGGGGGACAGCCCACAAAAGTTGATATGATCAACATGAATAAAATTAGAAATAGCTGGATCAGAAATGGGTTGCAAAAGACAGCCATTGGCTTGACAGGCAGATAGAATTCTATGCATATAGAAGTAGAGAGAGCCGGGTTAATCTTATTATAAATCTACAGCTATATATGTGTGTATACAAGCATATACATAGGCATTCATGTGTGACTTATATAAATGTGTTTATAATACTCCTCTATGTGTGTATGTAAGTACATATGTATCTATCTGTCTATCTATCTACCTACCTCCCTATATAAACATACACACAGTGGTTTGAATAATCCCATGCCAAGCCCAGAGTCTCTCTCTCTCTCTCTCTCTCTCTCTCTGTCTCTGTCTCTCTCTCCCCCTCCCTCCCCCCTCTCTCTCCCTCTCTCTCCCTCCCCTCTCTCTCTCTCTCTCTCTCTCTCTCTCTCTCTCTCTCTCTCTCTGCCTACAGATCAGGATGTAGCTTTCAGCTATTGCTCCAGTGCCTGCCTGCTGCATGCCACAATGTTCTGGGCCATGATGACAATGGACTGAACCTCTGAAACTGCAAGCAAATCCCCAAATAAATGTTTTCTTTTAAAATAGTTGCCTTGTTAATGGTGTTTCTTCACAGCAATGGAACAATGACTAAGACAATGTATGTGTGTGTGTGTGTGTGTGTGTGTGTGTGTGTGTGTGTGTGTATGTATGTATGTATTTTTAGAGAGTCCCACTTAGCTCTGGCTGACCTGGAACTCGCTATATATACCAGGCTGCCTTCCTTAGAACCTACAGAAATTCACCTCCCTCTGTCTCTTGGGATTCAAGACATGCACCACCATGGTCAGCTTTGTAGATATGGGTTTTTATCCCCAAGCCTTGAGCCTCCTCCTTTTTTCACTCTCTTCTCCCAGCAGGTTGTCATCTAAGAGGCTTAAGTTATGTCCTCTTATCATCTATGTCCTTACGACAACTTGCTTCAAAGTTTTCTGTGCAGTTTTCAAACTATGAAATAATACTGTGAACAGGGCCTTGTGGCACATGCCAGTTAATCCTAGCTCCTTAGGAGGCTGAGACAGGAGGACGGCTAGTTCAAGACCATTTCTCAAAATATAAAGTCACTTTGAAAACAAAGATGGCTGGGTTCAGTCCTCAGCATCCCTTCTCCCCCAACACACACACACACACACACACACACACACACACGCACGCACGCACGCACGCACGCACACATGCAGGTTAGGCCAGTGAAATCATCCTGCATCATGCTAAGTTTCTGACATCTGTCTATGCTCTTCTGTGTGCACCTGATTCTGTGTCTAGCTGCCACAAACCCCATGGTGTGTTGCTCAGCACTGTATGCTGTGTCCTTCGGTCTAAATACCTGGGTTGCCCCCATTTCCCCACCCCACTAACATGAACAGACCCCTGGAGCCTAAGTAGGAAGTCCTATGAGCAGTGAGAGTTTCTGCTCAGCCTTAAGCTCCATGTTTAGTGTGGGGCTGCTGTGACATGCACACTCCAAGACAGACACTTTCAGGTATGCTGAGCTCCCCCCGGAAGACTGATGAAGGTGTGCACTTTCATGGATGCTCTATTGTTAAGCCAGAAACTGGGAATAGCCTAGATGTCTAGCAACTGAAAAACGGGCAGTAGAAATGTGATATGTTACACAATGGAATGTTATTAAGGTGTTAAGAAAAATGAAACCATGAATTCTGCATGTAAATGGCTAGAACTAGAAATAAATATCCTGAGTGCTAAAACCCAGAAAGGTGAACATTTCACGTTTATTTCATATGTAATGTTAAGTGTTCATGCTTTAGATATGTGTATTTTGCTCAGAATACTCACAGGCAGCTAGTCAGTCAGGGACCTGAGGGCATCTTTCAAGGAAGGAAAAATAAAGGGATAAAGGAGAAATTACAACAAGAGGATTGAATGGGGTGGAAGAGGGGGAGGGTAACAGAGGGAATATAGGGAGGGACAACCAACACCATTGTGAATTCTACTCTCGTAGAGGCCTCCTAAAATATCTACACACACAAAGGAGTTTAAATGAAGTCACCATATAATGGGGGAAACAATACCCCAACTAGACATCATATACCACCTAATAAAACCCCAGTACCAGGAATAGGTCATATCATTTTGAGTTGTTGGCCAGTTGTTCCCATAAGCTCCACACACGGTATTGGTTATGCGCCACAGCTTGGCTGTATGTCCTTGTTGCTGAGGATACCTCATACTTGTATCATAGAACATGGAGAAGCTGAGCCAGTGCTCAGGGGCTTCCCCCCACTGGCTAGCGTTCATGGTGCGGGAAGTGTTATACCTGATACCAGAGGACAACAGTAACCACCACCCTCACCCTGTGGTGAAGGGCCCCTGCAGGAAGCCATAAGAGGCCCAGAGTATTTGCATACTCTTTGCTTTTTGAAAGGGATGGCATGGAGAGGCCATCCCAGCAGGCAGGCAACCCTGGAGTCAGCCTCAGTGGCTTGGACACCAGCAGGTCACTGTCTGCACCCTGGGGCGGATGAGTGGATGTAGTTTGACTTTGTTTCCTCAGGAGAAGAATGGGGATAACAGTATGTATGTGAGGGCTGAATCAGGGCTGTAGCGTAAAAGGTCCAAGCTCACTTCCAGGTTTGTAAACCTACCAAACTGCTCCACTCCCTGTGCAGGAAACCCCACAAATCCATGGGTGTGGCTTGACATCTCACCAATCCCCACCCTGGAAATCTCCGCCCTGGAAAACTCTGTCCCCAAGAAACCCTATATAAAGCCTGCATCCTACCCAGTTCTCTGCTGCTTCTCAGCCCAGCAGAGGCTGCCACTCTCTTGTGTCTTTCCCAATAAAGCTTGTGTGTGGGGTTTGTTGTGCAGTATGACTTTGTGGTATTCCTTGACTCCCAACTGCCAGAATACCTTTCCCTTCAGAGCTGTAACACTTACATAGGGGGAGCCTTCCCTGCTCAGAGTTGCAACACTTGTATAAGGGAAGCCTCCCTGCCTAGAGCTGTAACACTTAACAAGAGCCCATGTGTAAAATGCATCAATTAGGGAAACGGGGCCTGGCATGCTAACAGCCATGTGAGCATCAAAACAGGGACAATTGGCAAGAAGGAAAATACACAAAGAAAGGTGGGAGGAAGAGACAGTGGTGGCAGAAAGGACTTGAGGACTTAGCTACTGACCATGAAAGACTGTGTGTGTGAGAGAGAGGGGGTGGGGGAGCAGACAGACAGACAGACAGACAGACAGATATAAAATCTAAGCAAGAAGATAGGATGGTAGGATGTTATAGGAAGTTGAACCAAGCCTAAAGCACTGGGGAGATGTCTGGGTGGTTACAGCATGTGCTACATTAGTGAGGACTCAACTTCCAGTCCCCAGATCCATAAAATG